GCATTCCTGATGCCCTTTAATTCCTTGATTAATATCCCCTGATGACTTTCTAATCATGACAATATCTCAGAGGACAAAAGTTTTGTTGAGTTTGCTATTAATTTTTAATTCTCATCTGTGAGGCTCTGTTTTTGTATAAGGCTATTAATCCTCCATTTTTCTTTACTTTATATCTACTTACCCTACATGAGGGTTTTTAGTTAGGAACGGACCGTATGTGTGCCCTGCAGTTTATGGCATTAATTCTAATGGAAATTGTCTATCTTGTAAATGTTCTTTTGCATGGTGTAGAAGATGAGCCAGCTCTGAAATAAACAACTTCCAGAGGGTGTTAAATAAGTAAATTAACAGGCCAGTTTACCATCCTTTACAAACTAAAGGGCAAAATGGTAGAGTAGTAAGCACAGGCTTGGAACTAAAACATTGAGTTTGAATCTCAGTGCTGCCACCCCATGCCAGCTCTGTGACTTATGTCAAATCAACCTTTCTGACCTTCCATTCGCCCAAAAGTACATTGGTGCTCATGCCACCTACCTTGCAGTTTTTGTGAGAGTTACTAGTAAAGTATGTACATTATTTGACACATGATAGATATTCTAGAATCATGGACTGAAATTTATTAGAGTTGGGCAACATTTGGGCCCAGCATCTGACATGGAGCGCTCTCCCAAGGAGATGCAATATATGGAAACTTCTTTTGATTATCAATACAACCACTATTTTTTTTTTTTTTTTTTTTTTTTTGCGGTACACAGGCCTCTCACTGTTGTGGCCTCTCCTGTTGTGGAGCATAGGCTCTGGACGCGCAGGCTCAGTGGCCATGGCTCACGGGCCCAGCCGCTCCGCGGCATGTGGGATCTTCCCAGACCGGGGCACGAACCCGTGTCCCCTGCATCGGCAGGCGGACTCTCAACCACTGCACCACCAGGGAAGCCCAGTAGCTTATTTTTAATGTCAGCATTAGGTGTTTTTGTCTCTTTATTTTCTCTTAAATATGTGTTTTTAAGAAAGTTTATAGCAAACCTGTGTTTTCACTGTGGGTACTTTTTTTGATGACTAAAAAATTTCCAGGGCTTCCCTGGTGGCGCAGTGCTTGAGAGTCCGCCTGCCGATGCAGGAGACGCGGGTTCGTGCCCCGTTTCGGGAAGATCCCACATGCCGCGGAGCGGCTGGGCCCGTGAGCCATGGCCGCTGAGCCTGCGCGTCCGGAGCCTGTGCTCCGCAAATGGGAGAGGCCACAACAGTGAGAGGCCCGCATAACGCAAGAAAAAAAAAAAAAAAAAAAAAAAAATTTCCAATTTTTTTTTAACATCCATGGTAAGAAAGATCTAATTTTTAAAATTTGTCCTACAGCCAACATCATCCAAGTGAGATGTAACCTCTGTACGTGTGTGAATGGCTGTCTGGCAGGTTCTACAAAAAGTGTCATTTTTATTCATGTATTTGGGTTGCTTAAACATTTCTATAAGATTTAAAACACTTTTCTTCTTATGGCTGGAATTCTCAGCATTGATACTCCCATGCCTTCCTTTTTCAATCTACTGGCCAGTTTAAAGATATTCACAATAATACAACTTAAAGACAAAAAAAGTGTTCATAAGTCATTGTTTTAACAGCCAGCATAATACAGTAGAAATTGCCCTGAGCAAGGAATTAAGAGACTTGAATTCAAGTCCTGGCCCTGCCACTAATTTTGCAGGATGACTTTAGGCAAGTCACTTAACTTCTCTCATTCATCTAATAACGAGATTGAGTCCATTTTAAGTTACTTTCTACCTCTAAAATTGCTTTTATTTGCTTATTTTTAAAATAATCAAAACACCTTCTGGGAGTTGTGTTAAGCACCTGATGGGTACAGAAATATTTACTGATGTTTAAGGTAGTAAATATTTGAAGCTGTGATCCAGGAACCACCTGAATACAGATTACTTGGGGTTCGTGTTAAAAATACAGATTCCTGTCCTCCCTGGCTGAATCAGAACCTCCTAAGGTGAGGGCCAGGTTTCTCTATTTTTCACAAGCTCCCCAGTGATTATAATGCACCCTAATGTTTGAGAACCACTGGCCTAAGAGAATGTGTTCTAAGACGGAAAAAGCTAGCATGTGGCTCAAATTACTCCAGCCTCTGGCAAATCTCTTCTAAGGACAGTCCCATTCAAAGTGGAGGAGACTAGAAAAAAGCTGCTTACTTGAGCAGAGTCGTCAGCCTTACGCCTGGCCCCTGCGTGATGCTTTTTACTTGCTGTGTTCCATAACAAAACACAACAAAAGGTCTTAGTCATGACACCCAAGTCACGGACCACCACAGTTATGACAACAGCTTGAAGACAATCACAGTTCTCCCTTCATTAACGGTAAGATAGTTAAGCTCAAGGAAGATGAGAAAAACACGTCTTTACTCTCGATTTTCCCTCCACCTGTCATCCTCTGTGATTCAAGTAATCTGGCAGAGGAAACAAAATCTAAGCCACATTGTTCTCATCACTCTGTGGCCAGATAGAAAGTATAATCTAATAAATAAATCCTCTTCTATACAATAGAAATGACCAAAGCCCATTCCTTCACCTCTTTTCCTTTCTAATGCTGTTGACAGGAACAGAATACCAAGTAAGGACACATGCTACAGATTTAAAAATTCATACAAATAAACTACAAAGAGAGGTGGTAATTGTTTTTCTAGAATTTCACAACAAAATCCCTCTCACAGTGAAAAATATGTATAATTTTAACAGGAAACTTAAAAGACATTTTGCTGCAAAACTATAACAGTTGTAAGAATAATGCCATTATCTGTGCTCATTATAGAGAAACAACAGCAACTTTAAAAGACCAAGTATACTGATAAGATGAAATTTCTTTTCAACAACCAGTATGCCAACATCAAACTTCTGGGTTTTATTCAACACTAGCATCACGAGTTTCTCCTAATCCAACCAAAACTCCTGCCAAATGTCCACAAAATTCACACCAAAATCAGAAAAGAGAATTAAAAGAAAGAAACGTGACAAGAGCTACCATGCAAAACAACCAGCAGAACTGGAGTTCAGTGGCACAGATCAGCAGGAGCCTAGGAATGCTGCAAAAGATGGTGCTGCCTGGAGTCTAACTTGGCGATGCCCCTGTGATGCTGGATGACCAAGTACTCAGGTCACAGGTGTGTTCATGGACCCATAAGAACTAGGATTTTGACCCAAACTTTTAAGATCTTCTAAAAAGAAAATACTTCACCTAAATTGAAGTAATATATAATTCAAACACCAGAAGAGTTCCTTATTTGATGTAAGTTGTGCCTAAAACTTTGGCTGATACAAAGAAACCCGTCCACTAAGGCACCCGGAGGCGATCTGACAATGTGTTGGAGAGAACTTTGTCGTCAGTACCACATCATTATGAGAGTACAGAGAACGGATCACCCGCAGGGGACTGGCTTCTTTGGGCAAACAGTCAATAAGTTCACTGCACTGTTTGTCAAATCCCAACAAGCGAATACCGTAGCCATGCGGGGAAGAAATCATTCGCCCATCAGGGCTGAAGCAAAGTTCTTTGATATAACCCCTGCCTACGTTGGCTTCTTCAATGTAATGAGTCAGTCGTAGAGAACAGCGAGGTGAGACTGGTCGCACAGGGGCTCCTTCTTGGAATTCATAGACACAAGTCCACTAGAGGGAGAGAAGAAAGACAAATCATAGAGCCTCATAAATGGAGTATAACCTTTAAAAATTGTGAATAACTATACTGTCACCTGTAACTTAAATAATATTGTACAGCAACTATACTTCAACTAATTAAAAAACAAAAAGTTACAGAGTCCCAAACAGTGGCTCCACAGAATGCCAAAGCTACAGAATTGTTCCAAGAAATCATTCAGATGAATTCTACCCCTCTCCCAACTAACAAAACTTGTAGGTCCCATACTGTCTTATCTACATTCATATCAAGGTTATTCTGTACTATGACACTTTAAAGCCTTTTATTCCCTGAGGCCACTGTGACTTCTGAAGTAATAATTCCCTTCTCTGAGAGTAACAAGAATCTTGATATTTTAGGGTTAAGACATCTAAGCCCTAGAATACCTCTCCTCCTACACACTTCAAAGACTCTTCTCTCCTGTTAGCTGTGGCTTCTAGAGCTAGTGACTAGCTAGCTCTGGAAAGACTCCTGCTTTTCAGAGTAAGGAGAATCATAAGCTCATATAGGATCTTTCCCCCTAGTTATCAGTTCAGTCCCTTCCTTTCCCAAAGCTTTCCCTGTTTTTTAAAAAGAGAAAATCATAATACTCCATTGGCTTATAGCAAAACCTCCCATTTAGCCAGCTGAGCTCAGTCCTATGTTTACTATATAAGGGGTTTTTTACATTGAGATGAAGGAGGGAGGAATTAAGCTGGGCTCAGTCTGAGCTGATGACTCCTTTAAAGTACTTCCTGCTTGCCACACACAGAACAGAGAGGAGGAAGGATTTTGAAGGGATAAAGACACCGTGAGCACACATGGCAATGGCAGTTTGTTCAGTCAGCCCCACTGAAGGTGGAGTGCTGCTGCCCATACCTCCTGATCATCAGTGTTGCTTGAGCACCGAAGAAGAGTGGCCCAGCCTTTTGGGTGCAGCTGTAACGATGTGATGCAATTTCCACGGTCTCTCTCACCAGGAACTTCAGGGGTTAAGACTTCAAGACTGTTTCGTGGTGAAATTCCTGAGATATGAGAAAATTAGGATGTGGAATTTGTATTATCAAAGGACTAAGGTAGCTCATCAAAGCTTTGATTTCTGGCAGCCACCCTCATGCCTTTATTCTTCCATCTGCCCCTTATCCTACCACATGTAAAAAACCATGGTGCCCTTCAGCGTATGGGGTATGTGTCTTTGGGGTGGGTATGGGGGAAGGGGTATGACAGAACTAAAGAATCCAAGTTCCTGCAGCAGGAATCAACAATAACGTAACACTAAGGCGTTAAAGCTGACTAGGAATCCTTTTGATTTGGATCTACATCTCAAGTTATGTGACATGAAAGGAATCTGGAAAAGTAAAAGACAACAATTCTCATCTCAGAGGACCTGATGCTCTCTAGTCCAGAGAAGGAAATACCTGGAAGCCGTGAGGACTGCCTTTATATAGATGAAAGATGTGTGCAAGGAGCAGGACTTATGGCCCCCAAGGACAGTACTATAAACAACAAATCAATGCATAATTTTGGAGGTAAGAGAGGACAACTCACACAGGACATGTCAAAACAAGGGGTGGGAGATACTGCCAATTGTACATATTCCTGGTACTATGCTATGGCCCATCATTTCTTTCTACCTGGCCCCCAATGAAATTGCTGTAGTGAGCCATTGTTACAAACGGGAGTATGTCATATCCCTCAAGTATGTGGAGAACCACTTTCATACATATTGTAAGGAAGCAGCTTAGAAATTTATTATCAAGAGAAATATTTCAACACTTCTCTGCCTATAGGAGTTGCTTTAAAGATAATGAGCTGCCTCTGTCAGACCCTTTGTGAATTATTTCGCACTTAGATGTGTTATCTTCTTTTAAAAGCTTCCCTTTAGATTACTGCAGCATTGACAGAAACCTATGACGATCTAAATTACATTCTCACAACCAAATTATACCTAAAGAATTATTTCACATGTGATTGAACCTTAACAACAATTTTAGAAAAAAACCAAACCCTACTTCAAGAATTTTGAAAATCTATAAAAAAAAAGCAGAAAAGAAACCCATTCTGAATAAGTAAGCAGTGATTTTTGAGCTCTGCTCCTTGGAGGTTGCTCAAGAGCTGGCAAAAGGGGGAAACCATACAGGGCCAGGGTAGAGATGGGGCAGGGAAGACTGGAGGGTCAAGGGCCTCCTTAATTTTACTTGAACCAAAGTTACTTCACTCTTATTTGTGCTACATCCCTAAGAATCCACAGGAGAAATGTTACATATGTGGGCATAAATCTCTAAGAAGAGGAATATTTAACCTTAAAATGAGACATCATAGTCTTCAGCATCCAGAGGACAGGATGGTGGATAGTCTATAGGTTTAGGTTAGGAAGGTCTCAAACCATTCTTGGAAGTAGTCAGGCAAAGTAATCAAGAATGCATTTATTGAGCACTTACCAGATGAGGCCACCCAGGGAAAACACTAATTAGAAGTCTATAGTCCTGCCTCTAAATATCTAGGTAGGAGATATGCTTATTTCCAAAAGGTGACCCAAAATTACAAAAATATATATATCTGGCCATCAGTCCATCACGAGGAGAACAAACAAAAAGTGCTGTAAGAGCTTAGATGTGAATTAGTACGGAGAGGGATGACGAGTGAAATTTGCATAGGTAGAAAGCATTTCAATTAAGCGGTGGGTAGGACAGACTGAGCAGCTAGTTCTCCCAGATTGGCTGGGGAAAAACTGGCAAAAGTAGAGTGGGGCCAGATTATAGCTCTTTATCCCACAACCCCTCTGAGGCTGCCAGGCATTGCTGAGATAAGGAAATGGCAAAGCAAAAAGCCTGCTGGGCTGAAACCAGGCAACTTTCACAAGCACCTGATAAACTCATCCCTTTATATTTACATAGCACTATCACATGCGTAGTCTCATTTAATTTCTATAACAACCTTGATTGGAGTCCGTATTTCCCAACTATTCCCTCTCCAAACTAGACCAAACTAAATCCAGAAAATAAAACTAAAGTTCAAATTCCAACAAAAATGTAAGCCCAAGATATTCAACCCTAGAGACTGGTTAGCTTTTTGGGGTTTTGTTCGTTTGTTTTTTGATTTTTGGCCACACTGTGTGGCATGCGGGATCTTAGTTCCCCAACCAGGGATTGAACCCATGCCCCCTGCAGTGGAAGTGCTGAGTCCTAACCACTAGACTGCCAGGGAATTCCCTGGTTAGCTTTTTGAAAATGTTACTGAGGAGCAAGGAATAGCCTCATCTCTATTGGCTTTAATTTTTAAGGATTAAAATCAAACTAAAAAAAGCTATTTTAGAATCTATATTCAAGATTATGAAATGCAACTTTTGACCTACCTTCTCTTTGTGAGGCTCGTGACATGTGTTTCTCAGAAGATGAATTAGAATCACTATGATGAGAAGGTGAACCAGAAACTCTAGGACCAGATGAACTCGACAAAGTGGTAAGATCTTGAAAATACAAAACGTTCCGACAGTAAAGCTAGCAAAACTCTGGTAGTGTCTCTTAACTTCTTAATCATCTACTTGAACCATATTGTTAAAGTTCATCTGAAACATGGCAAGTACATATCCATCTAAAAGTGGCCTATAAAAAAGACTGAGGTGGGCAAGATAGCTCTTTGGAACGTCCAATCTAAGGCCTAGTCCCTTTCTAAAACCCTTTTTACATCAATGACTTCCTTAAGTGAAATAAAAATGAAAAGCCAAATAAACATAGGAACATCTTAGGTTTCCCATCATTTCTGTAGTGAAATGGAACAAGAAAATTCAGCAAGAATGAAAACTGAGCTGTTCAGCCTGTTGTTTTATGTTAGAATGGCATCCAAACAGGTCCATTACTGAGAACATGAACAGATCCTTCTTAAAGCATACCAACAACTTCTATCATCATTACTGAAATTATGTGAATACCATCTTTGAAATGCAATACAAACTTAACACTGAAATCTGGGAAAATAAAATGAGTGTCAGGTGAGTCTGACGTATCACTCCAAATAGCAGTCTCTATTTCACACTTTTCTTGTGGCTGCACATTTCTGTGGGGACTTCTTATTAATCTAATTTCTTTGGATGGTATTAAGTATCAGAATTACCTTTAGAAGACAGAAAACCTTCCTGGTTTTTAAGCAAAACATGCCAATTTAGACCTTCTAAATCACTACTTCTCACTAAGCTCACTAAGCTAAAGTTGATTATTAATGTTTAACCTAAAAATTTGAAATGAAAAGGACTGTACTTGCACATTAATGAAATCCCTTGCTTGCAAATAAGTTGGTAAAACTTAAATTTCTACTTTTAGCAGTGAAATTGTATTGCAGGCAACTGCAATACAATGAGGGCTGCACATTCCCAAAGGAGTCTTCAGAAGTGGCCCCGTGCATAGATAAAGATTCCAGCCATTTGAAGTTGATTTTAAACAACAATTTATGAACATTATGTTTTTCAAATGCTTAAGTATTTTTTTCTGAGTTCTTGTTCATAAACACAATATAATAACTAATGAGTATGTTCCTATATCAGCCCTCTTCTTCCTAAAGGTAGATATAATATAGTCTCTATCATTTAATGTAGTACAAAGTTTTCCTGAGCCCCATTTCGCTTAAGTCCAATGGAATTGGCAACAGGAAAAGGAACAGAGCTTTAGCAAGAGGATGTTTATAGTTCATGAGATAAGATGGCACCAACTACCTGTGTCTGGACATCTGAAAGTCTAGGATGCAATACAGACTTAAAATTAAAACTCTATATTGACTATAACTTAACAGCTCTGCTGGGTTCCAGAAAAACTTAAAAAAGATTGACAGTAATTTGGGCCATCACTAATTTTTGAGATAATGGTGATCTACAAATACTGATGAAGACTTTCTGGCTAGCAGAGGGCTAAAAAATTTTTTTTTAGAGTTAGAAGTTATTCTTCCTATATCATTTGTGAGACAGAGGCACAAATTAATACTATGTCAGAGATACGTGTAGATCATTATACTTCCTTGGGAAAAAAGCTATTACTGAGCTTTCCAAAGAATATCTTTTAACTTTCTTCCCTTCTTTCTGCTGTCATTCTCAGAATAGAAACATATACCATCCCCATGTCTGAGATTACTTAGAAAAAACTTTCTCTAATCAAAAAAGGAAAGCTTACCTGAACTTGATGTTGTTCTTCTTGCTCTCAAAATGGGATAGCTGCCTACTTCTAAAGACTTGGTTAAGTCAAGATCATGCAAAATCAAGAGATATCCAGAGGACGTTGAGATCAACATTTTGGAACAATCTGGTGTTAATCTCATTCGCATGAGAAAACGTGTGTGAAAGAATTTCTTATGTGGACACCCATCTTCTGTACACCTACAAAAGAAATCAAACCAACAAAACCTAGAGTTATCATAAATATAAGCATTCAGTGATAGTCATATTTTTGCCCTTCAAACTAGAATTTACACTTGATGTACACTCAGACTTATACATATGAAAAATTTTTGCTCACCATTCCTTCTTCCATCTCTAACTTTTTTTAAAAGATTATTATTTCTTTCTGAAGTATATTAAATAAAATTTTGTTGAGATAAACTCTCACTTTTTACTGTTCTGAAAATCTTTATTTCACTCTTTGATTAAAGGTTTAGCTGAGCCTATAACTTTAGGTTGATAGTTATTTCTTTCTGAATATTGAAGATAATATTCCAGTGAGTTCTGGCTTTATTGTTGCTATTTTTAAGTCTACTATCAGTAGAATTGTTACTTTGGATATTCTTTTTCCTTTCGTTGATCTTCTCCTTGTTTTGGAGTGTTGCAGTTTCACTATGACGTGTAAATTTGGATTTCTTTTCAGTTATCTTCATTGGGATTCATTTGACTTTCTAAATCTTAAGATTCATATTATTTATATATTCTGGAAAATTTTCCATCATTATTCCAATATTGCCTCTCACCTATTTTCTCTATTCTTTTGGAGCTCTAGATAGATATTTGAAACATTCCCATTTGACTCTCCTTGTCGAATAACTGCTCTTTCATGTTTTCTATCTCCTCATTTGCATATGTTGCCATCTTGGTAATTTTTCAATATCTTTCTTAACCTGTTTTTTAAGCTGTGTCTGCTACTTGTTTTTATAAACTTCAATAGTTCTATTTCCTTACTTCTTTTAAGTTCTATTTGGCTCTATTTCAAATCTGTATGATCTTTTGAATAGATTTTTATTCCTTGCCTATGTTTTTTAGTCCCCATTTTATTTCCTTTTTTATTATTTTTAAAACTGTGAACTTTGTCATCCCTACAGAAAAGTACATAAATAAGACATGTAGAATTTAAAGAAAAATGAACAGCTGTGATTCATCACCCATGTTAAGAGGTAGAACAATACCAGTACTTTAAAAGTCCCCTCTGTTTCTCTCTTCTGTAGCATCCTTCAGTCAGCATGCAGTGCTTCAAGCATGCAATAACTTTTCTTATCTCTCTGAGGATATTTATAGGTTTTTAAAATTTTAAGTTTTCTTCTCCCTATGTAGTCTCTACTTTTTCCAAGATATCTCCCCATTTGTGTAAGTCTTTTCATAGAAACTTTTGTCAAATGTCTGATTATGTTTGGCTGTCTGCTCATAATTAAGAGTGGGGAACTAAAAAGCTGACTGGGAACTCTGAGTGCAAGGGTAGGCTTGAGCTTCACTAAATAGGGTGAAGCCATTTTTTGAGGAACTCCTAATGTCAGTACCTTTAGTTCATTAACTGAAAGAACTTGTGAGGATCTCTAAATTCAATATTCAGTGTGCATATGGTCACTTAATCCCCCTGATTTTGGTAAGGTACCCAAGACTTCAACTGTGTCTGGCATCCTTTAATACAGATATTCTCTATTTTACCTCTTTAGAGAATAAAATTCAAAATCCCTGCTGAAATGCGAGGAGGTAAATAGCCCAGCAGTATGGATTAAGGGAGGAGATATAAGTTCTTAAATATCTTTCATCTGAATCCTTATTTTAGCTGCCCTTTCTGTTCCAGAGTACCGAGAGTTGCCAGTTACTGTGATTTTTGAGGATTTTGTATAAATATTCTTAAGTTCTTAACTTTTTCCCACTGCCAGTTTAGGATTCAGCTTTCTTGAACTTACTAAGTAAGTTTAAGTGAGTTGCTGAGTCGGTTGCCACTCATCTTCCTGCCTTCCAGATTTTAAAACTTTATTGTCATTCCTTCCTTTCCTATTTCCCCATCTTATGAGTTTATACCCTTCATTTTAAAATTTGCTTATATTTAATTTTAGAGGAATCTTTTCATCCATAGATTCTATTTAGGTCTTACAATAACTTAAATGAAATTTTAGTTTTCTCCATAATGGTTATACAGATCTCCTGTTGCAGTTTATTCCTGTGTACCAACTAAATTTTTTTAAAGTTTGTTTGTTTATTTATTTATTTATTTACTTACTTACTTACTTACTTATTTATGCTGTGATCTTAGTTCCCCCACCAGGGATTGAACCTGTGCCCCCTGCAGTGGAGTCATGGAGTCTTAACCACTGGACAACCAGGGGAGTCCCCAACTAAATTTTTTAATTACTAAAAACTATATACTTAAAAAAAATTTTAATTGTTTATAGTGATGTATAGGAACACTACTGATTTTTACATTTTGATCTTATATCTAACAATCTTAGTTAACGCTGATTAATTCTGATAATCTGTCAGTAGAATTTCTAGGGTTTTCTATATAGAACCTAGGTGTCTAAAAACTGTGGCCTATGGGCAAAATCTGGATCACTGCCTGTTTTTATATAAAAAGTTTGTTGGAACATAGCCATACCCATTCATGCATTGTCTATGGCTGCTCAGAGACAATATAGCACACAAAGCCTAAAATATTTATTACACAGTCCTTTATAGAAAGTTTGCCAGCCCCTGATACAGATAATCAATCGTATCATCTGAGAATGATAATTGTTTCATTTTTTCCTTTCCAATCCGTATATATTCCAATCCTTATTTATTTTACTGCACCAACTAGGACCCTGCCTCCCTCCAACCCAAAACAATAGTGAACAGCAGTAGTAATAGCAAGCATGTTCTCCTTCCTGATTTTATAGAGAAAACTTCTAAAGTTTCACCATTTTAAAATGTGCTATAGGTTTTTAGTGCCTTTTGATCAGTTTCCTTCTATCTAGTCATCAATACAATCCAATTTTAGAACATTTTCATCATTCTAAAAAATCACTCTTGCCCATTAGCAGTCATTCCCTTTCCTACTCCCAGCCACAGATAACCACTAATCTACTTCCTGCCTATTGCTGACATTTCATATAAATAGAATCATACAATAAGTTGTCTTTTGGTTTGGCTTTTTCACTTAACTTTTTTGAGGTTCAGCCATATTGTAGCACATAATAGTACTTTGTTCCTTTTCAGTACCACACAGTATTCTATTGTATAGATATACCACATCTTGTTCATCCTTTTACCAGTTGATAAGTATTAAGATTGGTTCTATTGTTTTGCTATTATGAATAACACTATTATAAGCATTCTCTGTGCGGACATATATATTCATTTCTCTTGGGTAGATATCTAGAAGTGGAATTGCTGGGTCATATGGCTCTATGTTTAACATTTTGAGAAGCTGTCAAACTGTTTTCTAAAATGGCTGTACCATTTTATATTCCTACCAGCAATATATGAAGTTCCAGTTTCTCCATATTCTTGCCAATATTTGTTGCTGTCTTTTTTGTTAAAGCCATCTTATTAGATGTGAAATGGTATCTCATTTTGGTTTTAATTTGCATTTCCCTTAAGACTAATGATGTCAAACATCTTTTCAGGTGCTTATTAATCATTTGTGTATCACCCTTGGTGAAATGTCTATGTCAATATCTTGCCCATTTTTAAATTGGGTTATCTGAATACATATAAGTGAGTTAGAAGAATTCTTTATCTATTCTGGACACAAATCCTTTAGCAGATGTGATTTACAAATATCATATCCCATCCTGTAGTTTTTCTTTTCACTTTCATTTGTTGAACAGACTGTCCTTTCCTGAACTACTGAATTACTTTAGTACCTTTATTGAAAATCAGCTGATCATAAATATAAGGGTTGATTTCTGGACTCAATTCTGTTCCCTTAATTTATATTAGATGTCTATCCTATGCCAGTACCACACTGTCTTGATTACTATGGCTTTGTAGAAATTTCTGAAATCAGGAAGTGTGAGTCTTCCAATTTGTCCAAAAAAAAGGCAGCTGGAATTTTGATAGGGATTGCCTTGAATCCATAGATTAATTTGGAGAGAATTGCCATCTTAATGATATTGAGTCTTCCAATCCATGAGCATGGAATGGTCTCTCCATTCGTTTATATCTTCTTACATTTCTTACAGCAACGTTTTAGTTTTCAGCATACAAATCTTGTACTTCTTTTGTTAAATTCATTCCTAGATATTTTATTGTTTTTTAATGCTATTAGTGGAATTTTTTTCTTCATTTTTGGACTGTTCATTGCTTTTGAATAGAAATACAATTGACTTTTATATATTAATCTAGTATATCTTATGACCTTGCTGAACTTATTAGTTCTAGTAGTTTTGTGAATTCAAGATTTTTTTTTTTTTTTTTTTTGTGGTACGCGGGCCTCTCACTGTTGTGGCCTCTCCCGTTGCAGAGCACAGGCTCCAGATGCGCAGGCTCAGCAGCCATGGCTCATGGGCCTAGCCGCTCTGCGGCATGTGGGATCTTCCCAGACCGGGGCACGAACCTGTGGCCCCTGCATCGGCAGGTGGACTCTCAACCACTGCGCCACCAGGGAAGCCCCAAGATTTCTGATATATAAAATCATATCTTCTACATATGAAGATAGTTTTACTTCTTTCTTTCCAATCTAGATGCCTGTTATTTTTCTTGTCTGTACTTCCAGTGCAGTTGTACTTCCAATACAATGTTGTATAATAGTGGTGAGAGCACACATCCTTGCCTTGTTCCCAGTCTTAGGGGGGATGTATTTAGTCTTTCAACATTAAGTATGATTTTAGCTGTAGGTTTTTCATAGCTGTCCTTTATCAGGTTGAGGAAGTTACCCATTATTCCAACACCACAAATGGGTGTTGGATTTTGTCAAGTGCTTTTTCTGACTTTATTGAGATGATCATATATATGGGCTTTGACCTTTATTAATGTGATGTATTACATTGACTTTTAGATGTTAAACCAACCCTATCTATATTCCTGGAATAAATTCCACTTGGTTGTGACATATAATCCTTTATATATGTTGCTAGGTTTGATTTGCTAATATTTTGTTGAGAACTTTTATCAAATTTTTGGGAGAGGGATATTGGTCTGTAGTTTTCTATTCTTAATGATGTTTGTCTGGTTTGGTATCAGAGTAATGCTAGCCTCATAAAATGAGTTGGGAAGTGCTCTCCCCTCCTCTATTTACTGTAAGAGTTTGTGAGGGATTAATATTATTTATTCTGTAAATGTTTGGTAAAATTCACCAGTGAAGCGTTTTGGACCTGAGCTTTTCACTGTGGGAAGATTTTAAAATTCAATTTTAAACCAATTCAATTTCTTTACTTGCTATGTAGGTCAGTAGGTCTATAGACTTTCTATTTGCTCTTGAGTCAGTTTAAGTAATTTGTGATTCTGTAGGTATTTGTTTATGTAAGTTGTCTGATTTGTTGCCATAGAGTTGTTCATTGTATTCCTTTGTAATCCTTTTATTTTTTTTATAAGGTTGGTAATGATGTCCCTTCTTTTGTTTTTAATTATGAACAAATGTTGAATTTTATTCTTCAGTTGAAACAATCATATGGATTTTTCTATTTATCCTGGTGTGATAAATTATACTAACAGAATTTCTATTGATAAATCTTTTCATTTCTAGAATAAACCCAACTTGGTCATGATATATTTTTTAAATTAATTAATTAATTTATTTATTTATTTATTTTTGGCTGTGTTGGGTCTTCGTTTCCGTGCGAGGGCTTTCTCCAGTTGCGGCGAGCGGGGGCCAGTCTTCATCGTGGTGCGCGGGCCTCTCACTATCACAGCCTCTCGTTGTGGAGCACAGTCTCCAGACGTGCAGGCTCAGTAGTTGTGGCTCACAGGCCCATTTGCTCCGCCGCATGTGGGATCCTCCCAGACCAGCGTTCGAACCCGTGTCCCCTGCATCGGCAGGCAGACTCTCAACCACTGTGCCACCAGGGAAGCCCGGTCATGCTATTTTGATTAATATCTTACAGGATCCAATTTCCCTTTTTTAGAATATTTGCATCTACATTCATAGTACAGACTGACCTTTCATTTTGAGTTTGTGTATCAAGGTCATACCTGAGGTAAGAATTCCATTTTTCTGGAATCTGAACAGTTTAATAAGATTGGAATGTTCTGTTTCTTGTAATATTTGGTAGAAGTCACCTGTAAAATTGACAGGCTGCTGTTTTATTAGTAGATAGGTTTTTTTAAAAAAAATATTTATTTACTTATTTGGTAGCGCCGGGTCTTCGTTGCTGTGCGGGATCTTCATTGCAGCATGCGGGCTCTTTCTTTTTTTAAAAAAATCTTTTATTATTATTATTTATTTATTTAGGCTGTGCTGGGTCTTAGTTGCAGCATGTGGACTTCTTAGTTGCCACACATATGTGGGGTCTAGTTCCCCAACCAGGGATCGAACTCAGGCCCCCTGCATGGGAGTGTGGACCACCAGGGAAGTCCCAGTAGATAGATTTTAATTGATTTTTTTCATTTCTCTAATAGCTAAGGCAGAAGTGACAGCCCTGCATGAAAACTAGCCAGAGCTGATGCAGGTGGCAGTGCTGGAACTGGATCCTGCAATTAGTCTGCTATGTAAGGGGGGCTTCAGCTACTAGATCATAGGGAGAGATCTTGAGGAAAGTATCTCTAGAAGAGGTGCCACAGTACCCAGAAGGTGCCAGGATATGACACGTGGGGATGATCCATGACAGTGACTATCAATTAGTATGGAAGACGTTCAATCTTTTAACAACCTTTTCAGCTGAACCAGTGCATAATGGTTAAATATCAGTCCTGGTAATAAGTCTATTTCGGTTTTTCTATTTCTTCCTTAATCAGTTTTGCATAGGTGTATTTTTGTGTGTAAACTATTTCATCAAAGTTTTCAAGTATATTGGCAAAAGGTGATCTTATTATCTTTATATTTTTTATTGTCTTCTTTCTCATTGCTGAGATTGTGTCCTCTTTTTTTCTTAATGTATCTTATCAGAGAAAAGCAGGCTTTTAAAAAATCTTTATTGTATTTCATTTTCTATTTCATTAATTTCTGCTTTTTAAAAAATATATATTTATCATTTCCATACATCTACTTTCATCAGGTTTACCCTTTTTTATCTTTTTCAGACTTTTTGAGTAAGATGTTTAGTTCATTAATTTTTAGTCTATCTATCTCCTGATTTCACTATGATTTTTTTCTTTGATCCATGAATTATTTAGGAAGTAAGTTTATAAGTCTCTAAACCTGGGAATTTTTATTTACCTGTGGTTCATTAAACTGTACTGGGATCAGGGAAAATGGTTTGTGTGATAACAATTCTTTGATACTGGTTGAGACTTACTTCGTAGTCCAGAACACGCTCAATTTTTGTACACGTTCAAACTTTGCTTTAGAGGATGTATTCACTATTTGGGAGCAGAATTCTACATATGCCTACTAAATCAAGCTTATTAATATTACTAAAATCTTCTATAGACTTACTAGTTTTTTGGTCTATTTTATCTATTAGTAAATGAGAGTGATGTTAATATTTTCCACTGAGATGGAGATTCTCACTTTTTTCTTGTCTGTTTTTGCTTTTTATGGTTTGAGGCTATGTTATTAGGTACACACAAGATAAGAATTTTTATGTTCTAGTGAAATAAAGCTTCTAATATAGTACCTTTTTAAAATCACTAATAATGCTGTATGCCTTAAACTCTATTTTGTCTGCTATTAAAGTAGATATAACTATTTTTCTTTGATTTGTATTTATCTTTTATTTTTTCCCATCATTTTACTTTCAAACTTTGTGTTTGTATGTTTTAGGTATACTCCTTATGAAGAACATAGAGTTTGTTTCTGTTTTTTTTTTTTTTCTGTTTTTAATCCATCTAGTACTATCTAATAACGCTACATTAGTCCATATATACTTATTGTTGATATTAGATTATCTGCCTGTCATATTCTTGTGCTTCCTAATTTGCCTGTTTTTTTAAAAAAATGATTTTCGCCCCTTCTTCTCTGCCTCTATTGGATTGATTGTATTTTTTAGCTTTATCTTTCTACTAATTTGGAAGTTATTTATATTTCTATTCAAATTTTATTTCTAAACTAAAAAATAATTAGTCCTAAATTTAAACAGGCACACTTGTCTTAGTTTAAAGATAATCAGTAGCTGTATGCTTTGCTCAAACAATATGAATAACTAGAAATCTTTAAGAATATCCCCCTAGTTTTACATATGAGCTCTAAAAAGAATATTTCAGAAACATTCCTGGTGTATAACTGTATTGTCATTTTACCAAAGCTAGCAACAGGAATATTATAATTATTTCCCAAACTTCAACTCTTTCAATTCTCTATAAGGAGATATTCTACTGAAGTGTTTCACAACACAGGCATTAGTGACATTTTAGATGGGATGACTGGTCCCCTGTGCAAACTGTCCCGTGCATTGCAGAATGTTTAGAAACTCTGATCCCTGCTGATTAAATGCCAGTAGAAATCCTCCTCTCTTCTCCTGTAGTGACAACTAAAACTGCACTACACATTATTTCCAAACATTCCCCTAAGGATCAGTACCACTCCAACTGAGAAACCACTCTTTTAATGCATGAAAACAAAGTGCAAAAATTACAAAATAGATTTAGAATTGAAGGACCAGAGTGAAAAACATTTCAGTTCCACAAAGGAAATAATAACAAAAATATTTTTCCTTAAATTCAGGAAACTCATCTTATAAACCAGTTTTCTTCATTAACTATATTACTTGGTCTCCTTTCTACATAATTTTCTCCAAGTTTTTTAGTCACAATATGTGACTAAGTGCAAGGACCAAAAGATGGACTCACTTTCTGATTGTTTTTTCCCAAAGCCAGTTTCTTTCTCCTACAGAGATATGAGAGCTAAGACAGAACACTGAATTTGTTTACCATCTTAAAAACAGTTTTTTGTTGTTCATAATCCTAACATGACCTCCTATTCACAAACCTGTTGGTGTCCCAAATAATGACATTTCCATCAAATCCTGACGTTACTAAGAGTCTTGTATTAGTATCATATTCGATGTTCTTCACCCAGCTAGTGTGACCATGTAAAGTGCATACTTTGCTGTTCAGTTTTCTCAGATCCCATAGTGCTATTGTAGTGTCATCAGAGCAGGTAGCAAACAGCCGGTTATCAAGAAATCTACAAAGCAGAAAAGAAAAACTAGTTCATTTAATCTCTTATTAAAGAAAAACTGAGAAGCAGTCTCTGTATTAGGAATCAAGAAAACAAATCAAAAAAGGACTACAAACTCACTGTATAAACCCAGTGATTCTAATATATAATAAATAGTATAATTCACATAACCACAGAGAAGGATACTATGATTTAGTGAGGGCCATGTTGCAATTTTATCTGTTTTACATTATTGATTTTTACTCAAAACTAGAAATAGGGGTGGGTGTTTAGAGAACAGTGCTAGAGAAAACGAATTTTAGGATCTGTATAGGAAACACAAATGGTGAGAGACAATTTAATAGGAGACAAAGGAGATTTTGAATACTTAATTGCAAGCAAAACATGTTAAGCATAAAGTGTTCAAAATTATGAGAAATATTTACTCTGCTACCAATAACATCTCTATTTACATTTCTCTTTAGAATACATTTACATATAAAAATTGCTACTAAAGTGCCATAATTTTTAATCTATTAATTCAAAGCCATTCCCCAAATAATCTCACTTCTAGGACAACCAAGAAGAAATGGGAAAATTCTTAAAAAGGTACAGTTTCCCAAGACTGAACCAGGAAGAAGTAGAAAATATGAACAGATCAATTACCAGCAATGAAATTGAATCAGTAATTTAAAAACTCCCCACAGGGAATTCCCTGGCAGTCCAGTGGTTAGGACTCTGCGCTTTCACTGCCGAGGGCCCAGATTCAATCCCTGGTCTGGGAACTAAGATCCCGAAAGCTGTGTGGCGCAGCCAAATAAACAGATAGATAAATTTTTAAAAATTAAAAAATAAAAATAGGGCTTCCCTGGTGGCACAGTGGTTAAGAATCTGCCTGCCAATGCAGAGGACATGCATTCAAGCCCTGGTCCAGGAAGATCCCACATGCTGCGGAAGAAGTAAGCCCGTGCACCACAACTACTGAGCCTGTGCTCTAGAGCCTGCGAGCCACAACTACTGAGCCCACATGCCACAACTACTGAAGCCCATGCACCTAGAGCCTGTGCTCCGCAACAAAAGAAATCACCTCAATAAGAAGCCCATGCACCACAACGAAGAGCAGCCCCCTCTTGCCACAACTAGAGAAAGCCCACACGCAGCAATGAAGACCCAATGCAGCCAAAAAATAAATTAATTAATTTTAAAAACAAACAAACAAGGTCCCTGTGCTACTCTATAGCACAGGGAAATCTACTCAGTACTCTGTAATAACTACATGGGAAAAGACTCTGAAAAAGAATATATATATATATATATATATATATATATATAAAACTAAATCACTTTGCTGTACACCTGAAACTAACAAAACACTGTAAATCAACTATACTCCAATATAAAATAAATTTTTTAAATTTAAAAAAATTTAAAAAAACGACTTAGGGTGGGAAGCTGTTGTTACTTAGTGATTATATATATTTCAAAATAATTTTATGGCTATGCATAAATCAGTTTGTAAACTACATTAATAATAAGATTTTTTTAAAAACTTAAAAGCTTTTGTACAGCAAAGGAAACTATTGACAAAATAGTTTGAAAAGACAACCTACTGAATGGGAGAAGATACTGCAAATGATACAACTGATAAAAGGTTAATATCCAAAATATATAAACAGCTTATACAACTCAACATCAAAAAGTACTAACAACCCATCTTTTAATTTTTCCAAAGAGAAAATGCAGATGGCCAAAAGGCACATGAAAATATTAAAAAACCACAATGAGGTGTCACCTCACACCTGTCAGAAGGGCTATCTATCATCAAAAAGAACACAAATATCAAATGTTGGTGGGTATGGGGAGAAAAAGGAACCCTCCTCATACACTGCTGGTGGAAATGTAAATGGGTACAGGCACTGTGGAAAACAGTATAGAGGTTTCTCAGAAACTAAAAATAGAACTACCATATGACCCAGCAATTCCACTCCTGGGTATATATCTGAAAAAAACAAAAACACTAATTCAAAAAGATACATGCACTCCAATGTTTATAGCAGCATTATTTACAATTGCCATAGTATGAAATCAACCTATGTGTCCATCAACAGATGAATGGATAAAGAAGATGTGTTATATATATACAGTCAAATACTACTCAGGCATAAAAAGGAATGAAACTTTGCCATTTGCAGCAACATGGATGGACTTAGAGGGCATTATGCTAAGTGAAATAAGTCAGGGAAAGAAAATACTATATGATATCACTTATATGTAGAATCTAAAAAATACAACAAACTAGTGAATAAAACAAAAAAGAAGGCAGGCACAGATATAGAGAATAAACAAGTGGTTACCAGTGGGGAGAGGGAAGCAGGGAGGGTCAGGAGAGGGGTAGGAGGGGAAAAAAAAAGGGGGGGTTATTATGGGATTATATGAAATCATCTGTGTGAAACTTTTGAAAATTGTAAAGCACTACAGAACTTTAAAAAATCTTTCATTCAGTAAAAAAAGAGAAAACATAGCATCATTTTTTATCTATTAATTCAAAAGCATTCCCCAAATAATCTCACTTAGCAACATTTTATTAGGACCAGTCAAGATTACAAAATAGATAATTAACAGTTTTCCAAGGCAATAGAAATAAAAGCAAAACTACATAAATGGGACCTAATCAAACTTATAAGCTTACAGCAAAGAAAACCATAAACCAAATGAAAAGACAACCTATGGACTGGGAGAAAATACTTGCAAACGATGTGACCTCCAAGGGCTTAATTTCCAAAATATACAAACAGCTTGTACAACTCAATAACAAAAAAACAAACAACCCAATCAAAAAATGGGCAGAAGACCTAAATAGGCATTTCTCCAAAGAAGACATACAGATGGCCAATAGGCACATGAAAAGATGTTCAACATTGCTAATTATTAGAGAAATGCAAATCAAAACTATGATGAGGTATCACCTTACAAAATGGCCATCATTAAAAAGTGTACAAATCAGGGCTTCCCTGGTGGCGCAGTGGTTGAGAGTCTGCCTGCCAATGCAGGGGACGCGGGTTCGTGCCCCAGTCCGGGAGGATCCTGCATGCCGTGGAGCGGCTGGGCCCGTAAGCCATGGCCACTGGGCCTGTGCGTCTGGAGCCTGTGCTCCGCGGTGGGAGAGGCCACAGCAGTGAGAGGCCCGCGTACCGCAAAAAAAAAAAAAGTGTACAAATAATTAATGCTGGAGAGGATGTGGAGAAAAGGGAACCCTCCTACACTGTTGGTGGGAATGTAAATTGGTATATCCACTATGGAAAACAGTATGGAGGTTCCTTAAAAAACTGAAAACAGGGCTTCCCTGGTGGCGCAGTCGTTGGGAGTCCACATACCATTAAAAAAAAAAAAAAAACCTGAAAATAGAATTGCCATACGATCCAGCAATCCCACTCCTGGGAATATACCAGGAAACTCTAATTCAAAAAAAGACATGTACCCCAATGTTCATTGCAGCACTATTACAATAGCCAAGACATGGAAGCAACCTAAATGTCCATGGACAGATGAACAGATAAAGAAGACGTGATATATATGTACAAAGGAATACTACTCAGCCATAAAAAAGAATGAAATAATGCCATTTGCAATAACATGGATGGACCTAGAGATTATCATACTAAGTGAATATAAGACAGAGAAAGACAAATATGGTATGATATCACTTATATGTGGAATCTAAAAGATGACACAAATGAACTTATTTACAAAACAGAAACAGACTCACAGCCCTAGAAAACAAACTTATGGTTACAAAAGGGGAAAGGGGGGTGGATAAACTAGAAGTTTGGGATTAGCAGAAACAAACTACTATATAGAAAATAGATAAACAACAAGGTCCTACTGTATAGCACAGGGAACTATATTCAATATGTTGTAATAAACCATAATGAGAGAATATGAAAAATATATATAACTGAATCACTTTGCTGTATATCAGAAAATAACACAACATTGTAAATCAACTATACTTCTATAAAAACAAAAACAAAGTAGACAATTAAAATACTCTATAATTCAGATTTTTAATTATTTTACACTAATTTCTCAATCCTTAGAATATATTTTATATAAACACTTAAAAAATAACCTATCACGTTTTAATTTCTGCTTAATTCAACATTAGGATGCTTTCTCTAACATTCTTTTATATATAACTACCTAATCTCTCGCAGAAGAAATGAATTCTGGAGTTTCTTCTAAGAGATATATATATATATATATATATATATATATATATATATATA